TCCTTGAGATGTGGAAAATATTGTTAGTCTTTATGTACTTGGTAGTATATTTAGAGATGCATGTGTCTTATTAACTCTGTTTTTCCTAGAGCTCCAGGAAGAAATCCCAGCCAGTGTTTCACCCTAGCTGAGATTTGGGGGGCGTGTCATAAATATAAAGGGAAGGGTAAAGCCCTTTGAAATCCCTCCTGGCCAGGGGAAAGCTCCTCTCACCTGTAAAGGGTTAAGAAGCTAAAGGTAACCTTGCTGGCACCTGACCAAAATGACCAATGAGGAGACAAGATACTTTCAAAAGCTGGGAGGAGGGAGAGAAACAAAGGGTCTGTGTGTCTGTCTATAGTCTGTCTTTGTCGGGGATAGACCAGGAATGGAGTCTTAGAACTTTTAGTAAGTAATCTAGCTAGGTATGTGTTAGATTATGATTTCTTTAAATGGCTGAGAAAAGCATTGTGCTGAATAGAATAACTATTTCTGTCTGTGTATCTTTTTTGTAACTTAAGGTTTTGCCTAGAGGGGTTCTCTATGTTTTTGAATCTAATTACCCTGTAAGATATCTACCATCCTGATTTTACAGGGGGATTTCTTTATTTCTATTTACTTCTATTTTTATTGACAGGTTTCAGAGGAACAGCCGTGTTAGTCTGTATTCGCAAAAAGAAAAGGAGTACTTGTGGCACCTTAGAGACTAACCAATTTATTTGAGCATGAACTTTCGTGAGCTACAGCTCACTTCATCAGATGTTTACCGTGGAAACTGCAGCAGACTTTTCCACGGTAAACATCTGATGAAGTGAGCTGTAGCTCACGAAAGTTCATGCTCAAATAAATTGGTTAGTCTCTAAGGTGCCACAAGTACTCCTTTTCTTCTATTTTTATTAAAAGTCTTCTTGTAAGAAAACTGAATGCTTTTCCATTGTTCTCAGATCCAAGGGTTTGGGTCTGTGGTCACCTATGCAAATTGGTGAGGCTTTTTATCCAACATTTCCCAGGAAAGGGGGGGGTGCAAGTATTGGGAGGATTGTTCATTGTTCTCAAGATCCATGGGTCTGGGTCTGTAGTCACCTAGGCAAATTGGTGAGGCTTTTTACCAAACCTTGTCCAGGAAGTGGGGTGCAAGGTTTTGGGAAGTATTTTGGGGGGAAAGACGCGTCCAAACAGCTCTTCCCCAGTAACCAGTATTAGTTTGGTGGTGGTAGCGGCCAGTCCAAGGACAACGGGTAGAATATTTTGTACCTTGGGGAAGTTTTGACCTAAAGCACAAAGGGGCTCTGAGGTTGGCTGGTTCCTTTCGGGCCTAGGTGCTGTTATACAAAACCAAAACATAATACAACCGTTGCATGTCTGTTGTACAATCATTTGCAGTGTTGCTGTAATCGTGCTGGTTCCAGGATATGAGGTGGACCAGGTGGGCGAGGTAATGTCTTTTATTGGACCAAATTCTGTGGGTGGGAGGTACAAGTGTTCAAGCTTCACGGAGCCGGGGAAGGAAACTAGAAGTGTGCACAAGAATTTGGAGGGATGAAGGAACCAGTGGCAGCAGAAGTAGCTTTGAAGGACCCAAAGTGGTTAAGAGAGAACACTGGGCCCAGAAACCCCACACCTCCAGGCCTGCCAAGCATGCTCCAACTGGAGGAGCGAGTTAGAAGGGAGTTCAAAAATGGAGGCAAAGGTGGTAGACAGGCTGCAGGAGAAAGGAACCCTTCTCCAGGAAGCCAGGCAGAAGGCCGAGAGTGGGAGGGGACCCCAGAGTGGGTAAGGCTCACAGGCAGGGCCTTCTCCAAACACCCTCCCCTTTGAGGATCTGCAGGGACCTGCTCATTTGGACTCTTTATTTGCTGAGTGAATGGTTCGACTATGGCAGCCATGCCCCATACTGAAGGGACCTATGGGTAGGAAGTAGCCCAGGGAAGTGAACTTGGACTTGCTGCAGGGGGGACCCTGCCGGTGTTGCTTCCCACAGGTCTCTGGGCTGGGACCCGGTGGAGGAGGAGGGCCCGAGTCTCCTTATCACACCTTCTTAAGAGACAAGGCCCGGATGCCGGTGGGAAGCTGGAGGTTGCCGGCTTACAATCAAGAACAGGCACCCCTATCAGAGAGAGGGGGAAGGGGCAGAAAACAGATGTGCTAACCACTAGGCATCCCAGCCCTGAGTCCCCATCACACGGCCACAAATTTTCTTTGCTATATCCAGCCCTCTCTCTAATCGGTAACAGTAATGTGATCTTTGGCAACAGCTTTCTCCTCCAGTTTTGGTTACAGACTAGACTGATGGAGACTAGTGATGCTAAACACACAGGCTCTGTGATAAGCCGCGAAGCTGACTTTCACTTGTCACCACTTTCACGTATCAGAATTGCTACATTTGCTTGTCACTTTATAGCCTCTTCTGACTGTTTCTCTTCTTTGGTTACTCCTATTGAAATAGTTCCACAATATATACCAATAGAAATTCAAAAAGGTGGGACACATGTGCAGGCAGACACTGAATCAAATGGACACAGAGTACAGATTCTGCTCTGTTACACTAGTATAAATCCAGAGAAACTCCATTAACTTGCAGGAAGTAACATCAGTGTAAATGAAAGCAAGTTTTGGCCCAGTTGTCACATCTTTTATAGTTCTTAATAAACCACAAACTAGTTATTCTAATCTGGTCTCGAATGGTAGCCAGCCCCAGATGCTTCCGAACGAGGTGTGTGCCCTCACTGATGGACCCATTTTAACAAGCTCACGGAGAGGACTTTCTCTAATAGTGCTAAAATGTACTGCAGCAACACTCATTTAAATCGCATCTCTGAGAACTCAGAGCAGGAGCAGGATTCTGCTGGTCTCACCTGGTGAAGAGGTAACAACCACCATCTTGGCCACCACACCAGGGACTGAACTAGAGACTGCTAGAGCAGAAAGCCGGAGTGTGTCTATAGCTTAAGCTAAAGAGCCAAGCTCTGTAGCTGGGGATGTAACAGATTCACATCCTTTGTGGACCAGGCAGAAATGGGGAATCAAAGTACACATTGATCATTGGGTTATATAGTTGCTGACTACCATCTCCAGGCCTGATTCTGCTCCCACTCACGCAGGGTTTACATGAGCATGTCTCCTTAGATGTCAATGGAGTTACTCCTGATTTACACCTAAGCAGAATCAGGCCCTCGGTCTTTGAAATTATACCTACTTTCACAACCATCAGAGATATACAAATAAGCTTATGGTCATACTTTGGAATCGAGCCATGACTATAGAAAAATGGGAAAATGTACAAATGTATATACAATGAGTAGTTCATCCTAGATCCATGCAGAACCCTTATCACATCTTCAACCGGCAGCTTCATTCATTCATTACCTGTTTTCAGTGCCCTTGCAGCATATATTATTAAAGCGTAAACTCACTTAATCTAATTTACAATCTTCAACATGTTTTGACACTTGCTAACCAACAGTTCTCCAGAAAACATCTACTTGAAGTTATTAATTATCTACTCTTGACTTTGAACAGAGCTAACACAATGTTTCTGCTGTTTGGCTTCCAGTTCACAAAACATTTCTTGCAAATTATCTAATCAACATTGATACAAAGCATGAAAGCAGGTGAAAAATTCGAAAAGTTTGCCCTGTGGGAAAGTTTGATATGGGAGATGTAGTCCAGTTGGGAGGCCGAAGCCTAGAGGACAACAGGGACATGAGACAAATGAACTATAATTTCCATGTGGCAACTCAGGAGACACCGATTGATATCTAACTGACCCAATGCAAAATGTTTCAATTTGATAAATCAAAATATTTTGATTCGGATTCACCCAATCGGAAATTAAATATTTTGTTTCAATGTTCCCAACAGAAAATCAAAACACTGGCAAAAGTCTTTTTTTTTTTTCTCTTTAAAAAAAAAATCAACTTTGAAGAAAAAAAGCATTTTCTTTTGCCAAAACATTCTGATGGAAAATTCCTGACTAGTTCTATAGAGCAGTGGTTCCCAGACTAGTTCCGCCGCTTGTGTAGGGAAAGCCCCTGCCGGGCCGGGCCGGTTTGTTTGCCTGCCACGTCCGCAGGTTCGGCCAATCGCGGCTCCCAGTGGCTGTGGTTTGCTGCTCCAGGCCCACGGGGGCTGCTGGAAGCCGTGGCCAGTATGTCCCTCGGACCACGCCACTTCCAGTAGCCCCCATTGGAGGCACAAGCGGAGGAAGTAGTTTGGGAACCACTGCTGTAGAGCATCTAGAGGGTTCTTATGAAATCTTCCACCCAAGATCTTTTTATAGGGCTTGACTGTGATCCTTTTACTCTCATTGAATAATATCCTACTCTACAAATAGTCGCATTGACTCCATTGGGACTTTTCACAAAGTAAGGTACCACTCATCCTGGCCCACAGCTATTTCTTTTAGACTTTAGATCAAGGGTAAATTTATAAATAGTTTCTAAAGGTTTAAAATTATTAGTAGTTATTTTAATAAATGGTTAATTGTAACAAGAGTTCAACAGATCAATATATGACTTATTATCATCTACAGCACCTTCTCCGGTTGTGTTTATAGCACACACTCATGTCTGTAACACACTTACATCTGTCAATCATTTATTATCCCTTCTAAACAATATATTAAGGATACTTTTATATCAACTGCGGCTATTATTTGTATTCTCTGAGGACAATAAATGCAACACTTTTGTGTGCATATTTATCAAACGCCTAGATAATAGAGAAATCCCCTAAATGCTAGGGAAAGTCAGATCCTGATACAAATTCCACAGCTGTCCCCTATCACGTAAGGAGAGGAATCAAAATCCCTGATCCAAACACACTCCAACTGCAGGGCATTTTGGATGAATATCTGAATTTTGTTGTGTCTGCCCATTACTTCTAGATAGATCATAGCATCGGGTGGGTTTGTGCATTGCCACATTTTGTACATTATAGCATAATCCTGTGCAGTCTATACATCTGGAAGACATTGTACAAGTACCAGATCCACTAGGAGAGTAGATAGTTTCATACAGTACCTGTTTTATTGGAGAGTCTGAAAGACACCATCTTGTCAGGGATGTTGCACACACTCCTCACTGAAGCAATGCAGCTGTAATTAGCATAGTCCTGAGGCCGAAGATTCTTTAGTTTCAATATCTTTGTTTCCCCCTGCACACATTAGAAAGGTAAATTAGGATGAGATTAAGCCACAGGGACAGGCAGATTATCATAGCTTTCTGAGACAGACTGCTGGGACCACAAGAATATTGTATTGGGATGGCTAATTAGGAGCAGGTGACAAGTTGGAACTATCCAGAAAGAAGAGTTGATTTTAACCAACCCAGCTGCATACAAAAAGTGCTCTGCAAAAATGCTTACAGGCATGACCTAAAAGGTTAACTCCCCTACATACACTCAAAAAAATGAAAGAAAAATCTTGTTTTGGCAGCAGCTTTGAAGTCACAATTGCTGACTGGGTATCATTTCAGGTAATGCATCCTGAGATAAAACTTGGATAATGAAAAATCATAAGCTACTGTAAAAGGGTTCCTGTTGCTTTCCTTTGAAAACTGGCTTCCTAGAGATTTTATTTTTAGACAGCAGTTATGCAAATTATGGTGCAAAGATCTGAACAGAGTATTTAATAATGGAGCTCTTTTTGACAGGATCTAGAGAAAATTATAGCATCCAGGCAGGAAATTTTCACATAAAATACTATATGAATTGGGCATAACAGAGAACCTGCAAACAGAAACATTTGAGAAAACAACCCTTAATGAAAAAATATACAAAATCTTATATCATTGATAGAAAAGACACAGGTGTTTATGTTTCCCTGACAAAGCGATACCAGATGTCTTCAGGAAGGACTGTTTAAATGCAAATACTCAATTTTAGATCAAACACAAAATAAAGACATCATGGGGGGAAAAAAACAGAAATGTGAAGCATAGTTACAACATCATCATTTCTATGGTAAATCATTGTCAGTTAACAGTGCGCCACAGAAACAGAAATTAAATAAAATAAAGCTGTATTAAAACGTGAACACGCAATTAGTGCCAGCATAGAAACAAAAGTATTTTTTCAAGCTCAAGACTCCTCACATTCAACAAATATTTAATCAGAGTTTATATGAGAGAAAGAAAGACCTTTGAGCAATCGTGGATAGTTCTCTGAAACCTTCAGCTCAATGCACAGCAGCAGTCAAAAAAAGCTAATAAGGTGTTAGGAACTATTAGGAAAGGGATAGAAAATAAGACAGAAACTATCAGAATGCCCCTCCATAAATCCACGGTGTGCCCACACCTCCGTGTGTCCAGTTCTGGTTGCCCCATCTCAAAAAGAATATAGCGGAACTTGAAAAGGCTCACAGAAGGGCAACAAAGATGGGCAAGGGTAAGGAATGATTCCATACTCGGAGAGACCAAAAGTATTAGGGCTGTTTTGCTTAGGAAAAAAAAGATGATTAAGGGGGATATGACAGAGGTCTATAAAATTATGAATAGTGTGGAAAAAGTGAATAGAGAAGTGTTCAAACAATACAAAAGCCAGGGGTCACCCAAAAAAATCAATAGGCAGCATGTTTAATGCAAACAAGAGAAAGTGCTTTTTCACACAATGCACAAGTAACCTGTGGAACTCATTGCCATGGGATGCTGCGATGGCCAAAAGTATAACTGAATTCACAAAAGAACGAGGTATGTTCATAGAGGATAGGTCCGTCAAGGCTTTTAGCCAAGATGACCAGGTCTGCAACCCCATGCTCAGAGCGACTCTAAACCTCTGACCGCCAGAAGCCGGGAGGGGAAGACAGGTGGGATCTCTCCAAAATAGCCCTATTTTGTACACTCTCCCTTTGGTACTGGCCACTGTCAGAGACAGTCCACTGGAATACATGGACCATTGATCTGACCAGTACTGCATCAGTTCTTAAACTAAAAGGATATAAAAGGACAAATCCTCTTTGACTTACTCAGGCAGAACTCCCTCTAAAGCAAACTGAAGCTCTGAATAAAGCAGGCATGAAGTGGCCTAAACGCTGAAAGAAACAAACTGAAGAACTCTTATTACAAGATTTCCTCTCAGTTGTTAATAATATTACTGTCTGGTGTATAGTTTTATTGAGACAAAATGGTTGCATAAATATCAAGTGCACAAGGTTAAATAGGAAGGATTTGGATGGCTATATGGGCTGCATTCAAAAATACTGCACATTATGAATAAGCAAAAAGAGATGAAAGTGAAATAAATGGAGCACGTGGCTCGTTCAGGAAAGAGGTAGCCTTAAATGCAGCGTTAGGTCCCAGTCCTGAAAACATAACGCAGCATGCTTCACGACAAACATGCGAGTAGTGCCCGCAAAGTTAAATGTGAAAGTTAAGCAGATGTTGCATAAGTGTTCGCAGAACAAGGGTTTAAACTAGACTGTTCAAACGCACACAGTACTACAAAGGGAAATCTGAACCCCTTTTCAGAGAAGGATCGATACGGGTGGCCAGCAAACACGGATGGAGATGGAAATGAACAGAGTTACTAAATCTCTTTGATCAAAGTCCTGCGTGAGATGGGAATGCAGGATTTCATACCTTACAGCGTGCTCAGGCATATCTGGGGGATGCGAGGGCCAATTTAAAGCTCATTTAAGTTGACGTGAAGACAACTGTGGAAGTCAATGGCCTGTGGATCAGGCCCGCAGATACTATGAGTTTGTGAGTCTCGCAAGTTTAAGCCTCAGCTGTTCACTCCTTGATGTTGTGGACGGATCCCACAATTGTAATGTGGTTTATGTTACGTCAATGTCTATGATTTGTTAAAAGTAATTTTAGCTGATTTGTGTAATTAGTGTAATTATGTCTAATTATATAATTAGTGTAAATACAGCAAATGTAATCTTATCATTGAACTGTGCAATTACAATATCTAATGATGATGATGATGAAGAAGAAGAAAATCCTTAGGGGAAAACTTGTGCGGCAAGTTTAAAGCTTTAAAAAATTCACTATCTGAACTGCTTTAGTACATGAGTACATGTGTGTATGACTGGGTTCCCTCCCCCACCCCCCAGAGAGTTACTAGAATAAGTAATCCTTGTTAACAACCAAATTGCAGAAATTCTGGTTTAAAAATCTAGAGCTAAATTTGAGCGGCAGGATTCCTAAAATGAAGATAAGGCAATAATGTGGTTTATGTTTTACCTTCTTTTATTTAATACTGAATAAAATGGAAATACAGATAGAATACGCTGCTTCCTTCACCCCTCCTCCCTTTGGCTACAATAGAAGAGAAAAGTTAAAATATTTCAATATTTGTTTTCCCTAAACTTCATTTGATTTGGACTGATGATCCAGCTTCAAAGCTATCAAGAAGAAAATGCCATCTCAACTTCAAATCCCCAAATGTTCTAAAGTCAAATCTCTTATCCCTCCTCACATCAGCTATCACTGTTTGCTACTGGACGTATCATCAGCAGGACCAGTTATGCAGGTATATGCAGTAAACATGTATGACTCAAACTTTTAATTACACTTCGTCCTCTTGTGTATCAAATCTCATATGCACACAGGTAGATGCGCTAATTCAACCTGAGCACCAATATATGCAGAAAGGCTGTGGATAAGCTTTTGATGATCAATATGACAATCTGATTTATTTACTAATTTAATACAAACACAGGTTCTACCAAGAGTGTTCCTAATAACCTAGGGACCATACTTTTTTTTAAAAAGGAATCTAATTTAATGTGATGCTTTCTAGCCTAATAAGAACATATCGAACAAAAGAAATTACAGTAAACGTTGCCATGTTGATGCATTATTAGTCAAAGAATCCCATTTCAGAGGGAGAATTTGACTTTTAATTAACCATTCAAAACCCTCCAAATCCACACCTCTGTGTTCACTAGAAAACAGACCACAGAGTCCCTAACTGGGTCCATAGATGATAAATTAAGAATAATCTCATTGCGTTCAGAGGTCCAGGAATGGTACTCTCCCAGTCTATTTCTCATCTCTGTAAGGTTCCAGTCTGTATGTTTCTCTGTAATATTGCAAGCTAGGTTAGCAATACAGAGTGTAATACACAGCAGAAATGATGGTGCTCTCAAGTCAAAAGCTCAGAATTATTTAGGATTGTTCTGCTCTAACTCTGACTGAACGGGTAGCTGTTTGTTTCTTTCCTCAGTGTTTTTTTCAGATTTTCAAAACACTCTCTCTCTCACACACACACACACACACACATACACGCGCACACACACTTGTTTTCAGTAGACTGGATCTCCTTCTCCCCCACTTTCAAACTGGGGTTGATTTACGGTCTTCAGAAATACAAATGTGTTCAAAAATGTGATCTGATAGGCAGCTTTGATGGCCAATACGCCTGAGTTGCCAGAGATTATTGGTAGCAACACTTCTGAGTAACAGCAGCTTTCTCCCCCTGTAACCTTCTATACAGAGACACTGTACATTAATTATTTGGGGAACAGGTAGGAAAAAACAGGATGATGGGGCAGATCTTTAATTTGTGCACTTCAATGACTTCAAAGGAGCTACTTCAGTTTGCACCTGCAGTGGATCTTACCACCCGTTATTATTGACTTAGATTCCTTTTTAGAGGGTAGCCCAACAATTTCAAAATAAAGCAAGGTTTCAGAGTAACAGCCGTGTTAGTCTGTATTCGCAAAAAGAAAAGGAGTACATCCGATGAAGTGAGCTATAGCTCACGAAAGCTTATGCTCAAATAAATTGATTAGTCTCTAAGGTGCCACAAGTCCTCCTTTTCTTTTTGAAAATAAGGAGAGAGTTTCCTCTCTGTTAAATGATGCTTACAAAAATAAAGGCACTCAGTAACTCCTAGGCACGCCATCATTACACAGCACACACAGACATGATACGCACAGCACATGCAATCTTGCCCTATAGCGTAAATTGCCCAAACAGTGTCAGCCTAAAGAAAAGTATTCCACTTCCGTTTGTGTGCTAACTCACCATGGCTGAAAGTTACCCAGTGCTGAGAATCAGCACCAGGCCTGGGCACCGTTTGAGTACCAGTCAAAATAGGCCTTAAATAGGCACCAGCCTTGTGATGGTTCTGGGCACAGCGGTGAAATTAGCCTAAAATGCAATTGTTTTCTCCTTGGCCATTTTAGGGTTGGACTCACAGTATTGCATGTGATTTCCACAACAGAGAAGCCAACAGCCCTACGGGACCTTGAGCAGGTTTGCAAGGGGATGGAAGCTGGATATTTATTTTAGAGCAGCTGACTCTTCGGGTATGTCTAAACAGATCCACAGCAGCGAGTGTCGGAGCCTGGGTCTATGGACTCTGGCTCATGATAAAAATAGCAATGTAGATGATCCCTCTCAGGCTGGAGCTTGGCCTCTGAAACCCAGCAACAGGGATTGGTCTCAGAGCCTGGGCTCCATCCCAAGTGGGAACATCTACTTGGGTACTGTTAACACCATAGGGTTAGCCAGAGTCTGTAGACCCAGGCTCAGACTCGTTACCAAGGGATGTGTATTTATTTATTCATTTGCAACGTAGCCATACCCTCAGTGACTGATGAGCAAACAAAACTAGTTCCTGTTGAGAAATGATAGCACTAAAGATCCTCTGTGCGGACTTAAATTGTATGGTGGGATTTTCTAACACCTCTACGTGACTCAAGAGTACAAACACTATTGATGTTCACTGCGACTTGTGCTCCTCAGTCACTTAGGCACTTTTGAAATTTCCATCCCCCGCCACCCGTGTAAAAAGTTGTTTGGAACTAGCACCCACAAAGTGGGGAAAAGACAAGAGATTAGGCTCCCAACTCCCACCAGAATTAGATAAGAGTCAGTTTCTAACTCCCTCAGGCTCCTGAAATGAACCATGTTGGTGAAAACCCCTACACCATGCCTGATAGCTATTTCTTCAGCTTCCGTGGGGGGAAAACAACAGATGTGAAGCCTGAAATGGAAAGAAGGAAACCGTTCTTTAAGGGGTCAATACACTGTGTACGTAAGGGGGGAAAATATTATGAGGAAAAGAAAAATACTGTACCTTGATTCCTACCTGGGTAAAGAAGGGTTCATAGATTTCAACTCCTTTATCCGACCCTTGCAGTAATACCTCTTGGCCACGTCTCCAGCTGTACCGTACAGGTGGGTTGGAGTTAGCAACACACCTGAGAAACACTGTTCTCTCATAGTAAAACTGTTCTTTTGCTTCCCCGATGCTCTGGTGAACTGTCACTATCGGGTCATCTAAATCTGGAAAGGCAAAAAAAAAGCACAAAAACACACAATTCAGATAACAAAATCAGCACTTACATAGAACCTAAGGTGTTTCCTACACAGAAGTAAGCAACCAAGTAAGACCGCACATCTTGAAAAATAACAGGTAAGTATGAGAATGTTTGCGATCTGTTCCGAGAACAGTTACTACTCCAAGTGTATACTCTTAGATTGTCAGTTCTTTGGATCGTCTTTCTGTTCTGTGTTGGTACAGCACCTGCCACAATGCGGTCCCTTCTCACCATTGAGGTTCCTAGCTGTTACCACAAGAGAAATAACTTCAAAACCACGCATGGTGTTAAGCGTGAATTAATGTTGCATTTAAACAATTTAATCTCGCTTTCTTTCTTAATCTCACTTAGTTAAAACACTGTTGATCAAACCCTGGAAATAATTAGTCAAGCTGTTTTAATTTGCATTGTAAGAGAAGTTTGATGTTATTTGATGAGAATGTTTTATCTTTGCCTCTTATCGGATAATGTGAGTGTATTTGTGTTTCTTTAAAGTAATAAAATAGAACATTTTTAAGGCAGACATGTCTTTAGGTAGTTAGATATGTATTAAGATACAAACAAGAAGATCCATCCCAGGCTTTGGATACCCTTGACTCTCCCGTTGCCTGCTCTGTCCCCATATCTACTCTAGAGACACCATCAGAGGACCCAATCACATCAGACACACCATCAGGGGCTCATTCACCTGCACATCTACTAATGTGATATATGCCATCATGTGCCAGAAATGCCCCTCTGCCATGCACATTGGCCAAACTGGACAGTCTCTAAGTAAAAGAATAAATGGACACAAATCAGACACCAGGAATGGTAACATACAAAAGCCAGTAGGAGAACACTTACATCTCCCTGGACATTCTACAACAGATTTAAAAGTAGCCACCCTGCAACAAAAAAACTTTAAAAACAGACTTCAAAGAGAAACTGCAGAGCTACAATTCATGTGCAAACTTAACACCATTAATTTGGGTTTGAAGAGGGACTGGGAGCGGCTGGCTCACTACAAAAGCAATTTTCCCTCTCTTGGTATTGACACCTCCTCATCAATTATTGGGAGTGGACCACATCCACCCTGACTGAATTGGCCCTGTCAGCCCTGGTTCTCCACTTGTAAGGTAACTTCCTTCTCTTCCTGTGTCAGTAAATTTATGCCTGTATCTGTAACTTTCACTCCATGCATCTGAAGAAGTGGGTTTTTTTACCCACGAAAGTTTATGCCCAAATAAATCTCTTAGTCTTTAAGGTGGCACCAGACTCCTTGTTGTTTTTGTGGATACAGACTAACACGGCGACCCCTCTTGATATTTAAAATACAGACTTCCAGCTCCTGCAGTATCAATTTAAGCATCCCTGAAGCCCACAACAGAGTTTCTTCCCATTCCAAGTCCACACTTCGCAAATACCTCACTGCCTCTAAACAGGAGAAAGGAAAGTTAGCCCTGTAAATCGACTAACTTGGCATAGTATTAAAGAAGTATATAAAGGGTTAAATTAGCTCGGCTAAAGAAAATATATTTATGGGAAGAGTAGATCCTGTTAGCAGTTCTGGGAAGGCCTTGAACGAAGGTGGCTTAATTGGAAAAACTGGACCTGAAAGGTAACTGGTAACATAACATAGGAGGAAAAGTTCTTGGGGAAAAAGGCCCCAGTGATCATGGATGGTTCTAACTAGTTTGAGTAATAAAGAAAGATTGTGCATGTTGAATCAGCAGGACCGAAACCTGGTTTTAGCAAAGACAGTGACAATCAATATGCCATCAATTGTCTGTTGCACTGTATACAAAAACCAGGGGTATTTCTCAGCTCCTATCTGATCATACTGGAGCAAACCAGGATGAAAGCATTATCCCTGGGTTTGATTCTTTTGTGACTCTTCTGATCAAATGTTTATGAACGTATGTTATGATATGGATGTAGGAATCTCTTATTTTTTTAGGCTTTTAGAGACGATTAGAGCATTTGTACAATACCATTTGGCCTTCAGCTTCTAATAAAGAAATTTAGGGTTAAATTGTGTAGTGGGAATACCCTGCCTAAACAATTATACCAATAAGCTTCCGACACTTGGCTAGCTCCTATCAAAGGGGGAGACAATTCCTTGGTATGCAGTGTTGTTTTACCAACATATTTTGGTAAGTTGTCTTAAAAATAATGGCTACATTGAAGAAAAACATGCAAATAACCCCCATCCCAGCCACCTTTACTAACTTATGTTGCACAATTTTCCACCCGCAAATAACTCAGCCTGCAAGTTTCCACTCACAATTAGCGGCAGATGGACATCTAGCTACTAAAACTTCTAATGACCAGTAGGAGGCTGCTTCTCCAAATTAGGTACTTAGGTTTCCAAAAGGCTAGGTGTAGACAGGTAGATCTAGGTGTGCTCCCAATCTGCATGTACATTTACTGTAGCTGTGTATTCACAAGGGCTGACTGCATACCCAACAGTGCCTGCTTATCCACATAGACCTATCATTGCTCAATCTGCATGCACACAGTGATTGCTTGTGTTAATTCGGCACACATTTTATTGGTTAGAAAAATGTGTAGAAACCCATGAAAAACAAACACACACGCCTATTAAACTCTAGAATATGCAGGATTTCTTCAGTTAATTCTGATTTTACCCACTCATCCACAAATTAAAACCCCAGTCCTTCAAAGACTTATGCACCTGAGTAACTTTGCAAATGTGAGAAATCCATTGAATCAGTTAGAACAACTCCAGACCCTGCTTCAGCATGGTGCTTAAACACATGTCCAACTTTCAGCATGTTCCTTGTCCTATTGATGCCAGTGGGAGTACATTCACATGCTTGAAGTGAGGCATATACTACAGTACTTTGCTGAATCAGGTCCAGGAGAACACAGTTGCTCCATTGCATGTTTGCAGGATTGAGGCCAATCAATGCTAAAAAATAGACATCTGCCTTAAATATGTAAGCTGCTCTTTAAAGGTGTACATCTTGATTTGAGTAGTAAGACCAGTGGCTGTGCACATTGGAGTAAGCATCTCGATTAATACGAAACACATGTTCCATACGTCTATCCGAGTAATACGGACAATAATTCTTGGTAATAGTGAATGGATTTTAAATAAATGTTACCTTAGTTCTACTCTGCAAAATATTGAATGTAGCATCACAGAAACAAATTATGAAACAGCTGTTTCAAATTAGGATGGCATTTTATAATGAGATTTTGTTTTTCTTTTAAAAGTTATTTTATAACAGAGTAACATTTGCAATGGAAGGAGAATGCTGAAATTTTATGTCCTCCATTCATTCAATGGCAAATAAACTATGGAAAATAGTTTTCTTAAACTTCAAGCGAAAAACACCTGGTTGCCTACAGCCCCAGCTACAGCCCAAAACACCTGGTTGCCTACAGCCCCAGCAAAATGCAGAACACATCACACAGTAGTGGCTCTCCAGAGTCTTTGCTGATCAACAATACCGTTTACACAATACACAATAATGACAGAGTGGAAATTTGAAACCTCTCCTCTCACGGAACCTCTTCTCATTTACTCTTTCAAGGAAAGATGGCCTTCTGGTTAAGGTACTGTGGATTTAACTCCAAGGTCTGCCACAGACTTCCAATATGGGCTTCAGCAAGTTACTTAACCTCACAGAGGTACATCTGATGTCTATCTGTAAAACGGCAGTGATGATAACACTTCCTTCATCTCTCATCTAGTAGGACTGTAAACTCTTTTGGGCAGGCGCTCTCTTTTACTGTGTTTGTGCATGCCTAGCACCGTGGGGCCTTTATCTCCACTGGGTCTAAAATAATGATCATCTTGAATCTCAAAGAAGTCAAAGCTCAGGATTGCAACAGAGGGCAAGGTCCCTGCCACACCGTTTCCATTATGTCCACTTAATGGAAAATTCTCACAGCAGAAAATGACTGATTGAGTCACTGGCAGTAGAAAATCTCTCCAGCTGCATGAGAGCAACAAAAGCAGCGTGAATAAAAAAGACAAAATAACGCTGCGTTATTTTGCAAAGTAGTTAGGAGCTTTCACTGAGAATTCAGCTACATGTTCCATTAGTGTGCCGGGTTAGAGAAATGGTCTATTGGATTATTATGTAAGAAGGCATTTTGCTCCGGCAATATAAAAAGTTACAAACAATTTAAAACATATTTTGTAATGCTACCAGGCATTTGCTACAGGCTGTAACTACCAGGAATGGCAACTGTCAAATTAGTTTCACTCAAGAAGGCCATTTTAAAGCTTTCTGATCAAAATGGCATTCGTAGACTGTAGTCAAAGCTCTCTTGGAATTCCGATTTCAATGCCTAGCTGAATCACCACCCATTTGTATTCAAAATCCCAAATGGACTTCTTTTTGTAATTGGTTAAACCTGTGTGTACACATTTTTCCCCTCTCCAACAGTACGTGAAGGAGCAAGCCGTTCAACAGTCTAGGCTTGAAGCTATTGACTTTAGTTCTTACAAGGCAATTAACTAGCAAAGGGGAAATGCAGAAGGAAATCTCAGGGGGGTCTAGCACAATAGGAACAGATTCAGCACAAGGTGTATTTTCCTCCCTTTGCTTTGCCATAAGACTTGCATTTTTTAAATTATCTAATTATGAAGAGTAAGGTGATTAACCAGTTATTAAATGAAACTGAAGTCATGGGCTGTTGTTTTAAGTTAAAAAGTCTATTAATCCCCCCAAATGATCACAGAATTATGTTTTCCACAGAGATTTATGCTGCCGTTAGGTCCAATTTTTCAGTCTTTAAATTTTGAATTGAATGGAATGACAGTGAAAACCCAGATGGCAAACGTGATAAATACTGTATGGGAAATATTCCCTCCTGAAATCCTGAAACTGTTGCACAAGCAGAAATCAAAGCAAAAACTGTGTGAAACAAAACTAGACCAAACACGTCATGACCTGCAGGGCAATGACACGAGCTGGCGGAATGGGACTAAGCATTGTACAATGTGGC